TTTAATCGCTGAGTTTTCTTAACATAAAATAAAGAAGTGTGATGTCAACAGCATATCTATTTTTCTATATGATAAATGTGCAAAATTACAAAAAAAGCTCTGGTAGCTCACTGCCCAGACTCCCCCACATTTATAAAACCGAAGGTTTTTTGTTGATTGATGGAAATATTCTTATTTTTACCTAAATTTCGATGGTAGACAGAAAAAAAAACAGGAACCTTTCAGTCATTCAATTGTTTATCCATTACTTATCCACTTTAATGTAGTATGAATGGCTATGGGGGAACCGAAAAAGCTGTAAAAAACATAAAAATACAGTTAAGTCCAAAGATTTATGCCCCTCTTAACATTTTCCAAAGCCATCCAGCAGATTCTGGCCCCTGGGCCTTATATTTGACACTCATGTTCTAAGTTTAATACTGCATAAAAGCATATGTCATATTGAAGTTTTAAACATAATCTTAAGCTTTGATTTTTCTTGTTTTCAAGTGATGTAATCAGACAGTAATGCAACTGTCTGGCTCAATTACAATATTAGGTTTTTGTCCATTTTCTGTGCATGCCAACTGCTTTTTTAAAAAAAAAGGGAAAAAAAAACAGAAGAAGACACAAGAACCACGAAGCACTGGGAAGTGGCTCAGACGTGTCTCTTCCAGCGGGACGCAGCTCGGTTTTAAGCAGAACTGCTTTGTAATTACTTTCATGTATCCTTATTGGGCACGTATGCCAATTTTCATAAGTTCAGTAACTCTCTCTGCTTTTTCAGCTCTGGCACAGCCCACTGTCTCACACACTCTCGTATTGATCCCATTAGTTTACATTACTTTGCCTCAGAGATTACAACAGATTGGTCCATGCTTGTGTACAAATGCCGCGAGCGCTGATCTAACAGTTCGGGTTACAGCTACTTATTGTTCAAAGTAAATGTTTTTCCTGTTGAGAAACACAACTGAGCAATTAAGCTGCTTTGTCTGTGGAAATCCAGCTGCCTGCCTGTCCAACATTAGCAAAACAAGTAGTTTGTTGCTGTATCATTAAATGAAATTCTACAGTCGCCATCATGAATTCACTGCTCTTAACACAACAAAAGGCAGGAGTTCAAGTAGCATGTCACTGTTATTATTAAAGTAAGGGGGAAAAGTGTGACAAATAACAGTGACATTTAAAAATACTTCAAAAGAGTAAACATTCACACACAAACGCACACACACACACACAAAAAGTAAATCCTAATGTGATGTCTGTCTTTTACTTTTTCAGTGCATTTGCCCGCAAGGCTAAACAGGATGCACAGCAGTTTGACTTGCTGGTGCTGAAAAGGAAATAAGTTTCCTGTTGTTTTAGGTTCAGTCATGTAAATCATGTAAAATTATTTCGCTAGAGAAGTCACATTCCCACTGTAAGTTTTAACCACTACAGTTCCTTAAACTGTAGTCAAATTAAACCAGGCGTGCAAATATAGGAACCAAAGCACTTCAGATCTTTCTTGCCATACTTTTGTATTGTTTAGTGTGACACCTTAACAGTGCTTTAGCATTGGATGAAACTGTACCTGTGCCATAAAAAAGCCAGAGACAGTATGAAAGGAAGTTTTTTTTTAATTATTTGGTTTTTTAGACTTTTATTTAACCACATTGTTATTAATGTGAGCAGTTGTGCCCGATCATTCCGTTTTTCTCTTTATGTAAAATAGCATTCTATAACATTTTGGATGTGTCTAAGCTGCCAGCTGTCTTAAGTTCGAAAAACACAATATACACGATAGATAGATAGATAGATAGATAGATAGATAGATAGATAGATAGATAGATAGATAGATAGATCTTAAACGAGAAAGATAGATATATAATTTATATAATGACTTTATATATTAGGATAATACCAATAGTAATCTAATAATCTAATTAAAAACACCACATTGTTCATTATCATAGATTAAAGCAATGGTTCCAACCATTTAGTCTCCTCTTTATAAAAGAAATATAACATTTTAAGATGGAGTTGGGAGTGGTTCTTCCTAAAACTATTGGATAATTTCTAATAAAAACCTGTCTGAGCAAACAACAGAGGTAAAGCATATTTAAGTGCATGAACGAGCTTAAAGTAAGTGGTATGTAAAAAGTAAATGACATGTAACTGTTTACATATGTTGTGTTCAAATGATTTGGAAATAGTTACCTGGCAGAATTTTACCGTATAAAACTTTCCTAAAATGTGCTGAAATGAGCACTGAAATGTGCTCATGTGTCAGGTTTATGTCAGGTTATGCATGAGACTGAGTCTGAATTCAATTACAGTAGAAACATTCAGCACAGTCTGGGGAATGTGATTCCTGGGACTAATGTCATTTATTTGTCACTCAAGTAGAAACCAATTTAAAACCACACATCAATTTAAGTATGTGTAAGTTGCTGTACTGTGAATTTGTTCATCTTAACAAATACTTTTAGTATTTAGATTAAGATCAAGTGACTGTTTTTTGTTAAGAAGACCAAAAGTCTCTTAAACTGCTCTTCATCCTCCACCATCCATCCACCCTGCAGATCGACAGTTGTAGCTCAAGATCACTAGGGGGCACGGTCGAGGCTGAAATAAGCTGCGAGGAAAGCGACCTCAGAACATGCAAAACAGAAAAAGGAAAAAAAAGCATCACATGTAGATTATTCATTTTAGAGTTGCGCTATTGATTATCTTGCCATATCAGGAGTGCAAAGTAAAATGTTGTAAAGCTCTAAATTATATCTGCAGAGTATTCCTGCACATTTTGCATGGCATGCTTTGAAAAGCAAGACCTTTTAAAGTTACTACCAGATACCAGCTTTCTTCAAACACTGATCTTTCTCATGTTATTTTTTGATCCGCTGATGGCGCATTTCCAAAACAAAACGTAAGAATGGCTGTTACCTCTTGTTAGATCATACTTCATACTCGTCTTTCCTTGACTCAAACCTCGGGGCCGATATGTGAAGTTCAGCAAGTTGATTGGTCAGTTCCTCATCACTTCTTAGAAGCAAAGGGAGTTTTTGTTTACTTTATAAAACCTCTAGAGAAAGAAGCTATTCTAGTTTTCCCAAGTCGGCAGGACTCACACCAAACCCACACTGAAGTGATAACACTGACAGCTCTGTATCAGCAGTCACAAGCGGTTGATTGCTCATGATAGCATTTTTTTATGTAGCAAACAAGCTGTGCAAATTTATTGAAGACATTTAATTATTTTGACCCTCTTGCACATGTGACCTCTAAGAATATTTTGTGCATTGAACTCAATAAATTGTCCTTTTTTCGAGTTTTTTTTTTTTTTTTTTGAAATGTGTGAGTGTCATTAGCTGAAATGAGGAACTGGTCATGCGGTATCTAAGCTCATCATCAACTTTGTTCTGACTGAGGTGTTAAAGACATTTGTTCGGCAGGAAGTTACAGTATGGGTCTAAAAACGAAAAAAGGAAAGAGATAAAGAAATAACACGAACTCTGTCATCTTTATATTGCTCTTGTCTTTTGACTCCAAAAAGTCAGTCTATTAAAATCAAAAGACGTAATTTTTGCGCAAATGAAATCAATTGTGCAAAAAAAAAAAAAAGGAATAATTAACAATTATTCTCCTGCAGCAAGATATTTACTCCTAAAGAGCAAATACCCACATATGACTGTTCATGCTTAAGTGAAAGAAGATGTGAAAAGCTTGTGTGAGTCAAGCAGATACTCAGTTTCAAATTTAGTTTGAGGAATCACTATTGGTAGGAAAGTGAAAAAAGTTGCGAGTGCCAATAAAAATTCAGCAACTTTATACATACGTAATAGTATACTGGCAATGTGCACATACTGCATATGTACTTTTTATTTAGAAAAGTGTGTGTGATGAGGAAGAGTGTATGTGGGGTTTAGAAGTCTAAATATAAGTGATTTTGTAACCAGAGGTGGTTATTTGATTGTGTGTTTTGACTCAACGCTGTAGAACAGACTAGAAAGAGTCTAGCTCAAATTAGTTTCAGTACCATAACAGGAAAGATCAGGAACTTTTTATTGACAAAAATGTTTTTATTTCTTTTATTTTAAACTCATGTTCTCAGGTACAAACTGAACATTTCAATAAAGCTTTTCAAAATCATGAAAGTGAGAGTTTACTGTATATATTAAGGAGGAAATATCTGTAACCCCATTTAATCTAATCTAATCTAATCTAATCTAATCTAATCTAATCTAATGTACATTTATCTGACAAAAAGATGTGAAACTCTACCCACTCAGGAGATGTGGGCGTTCTACATGTTATAACACTGAATGATCATTATTTGATGACATCTTCATCACGCCCACCTCTGATTAAAATGGAGAGTTTCAAGTCACCGCAGGAAAATATAAAGTATGTGAAGAAGCAGCTCAGAACACATAATGCTTTAAATCAGAAAGCTTTAAAACGTGGATTCAGTGCTGATGGCTTTAGGACGTAAATAAGTGGTGTATCCCGAATGTGATACTGAGAGGCGGAGGTTTCAGGAGCCTGTGGTAAAGCCACATAAATAAAAATTTGTCATTATCTGAAGGGATGTGGTTGGTTAACTGCTTAAACGTTGGCTGGCAGATCTTGATAAGGCCTTATCGTAAAACCAGAATATGTACCGTCAAGATTTTTACTTTGTTTTGCCATCCTGAAATAATTACCGTTTTACACGTAAGCCAGAAATTTGTTGCCAGAAACGTACTTATTTCTTACTTATTATTGTGACTTGTTTACTCATTAGAACAGTTTTTAATGTTTTCTGTGTCCTCGGAAACAAAAACACGAATCATACTTCGACGTTTCTGAATTTCATAAACTTCTAAACTAAACCAAAAGCCTCCACTGCGTCTTCCTTCTGCACTTTGGCTTTTTTCGCAAGAAGTGTTGCAATACGACAGCATGTTTTTAGAGCTTGTCATGTAAAACAGCTGATTATGCATTTGACGTGAAGGTGACATTACATGCTACTGTGGACAGAAAAGGGGAAATTGAACTCGTCACAGAGGAAACTCCCACAGACTTCTCGACTGGCTGACAAGAAGGAAGCCACAGTGAGAGAAGGACAAAGGAAAAACAGCCTTCACAATCTATGGTAGGTAAGTGAGACGTTTATTTTATACACCCTTGCACTGTGTTGGAGATCATGGGTGAGCTAGGAAAGGGGTGAACGCTTGCCTCTCACAACTGCTACTTTTTCACAGCTAGAAAATCATGTTGCTATATTATTTAAAAATTTAATGACCTCTGATGTGTGAGCATCAGCCCTATTTAGAAATAATGATAAAAATCCACAAAAGTCAAATACACAGGTTTGTTTTTTGGGCTTCATCAGAGCTCATTTTAAAATGTGTTGAGCTCATGAAAGCGGACATGAATTCCCAGCATATGTCATCCTGTGACTTCTTCTCCTTTGAATTGCTCAGAATTTTCGCAATCAGATGAGAAATTGTCTGAGACTCTTCAGAAACATGCGCACTTTTCTTTATGAACGCTCAAAACGTCGCCCAGAAAATACAGTGAGTGTACAAAATGAAAAAAATAGCTTAATACAGTAACATACAGGTGTTTCCAGGTGCTGTGGGGTTTTTTGTTTTGGGGTTTTTTCTGTTTGTTTTTTTACATTTCTTGTGCTATTTTCTGAAAATCATTCTGTCTTTGATTTCTCAACTGATGGTTTCCACTTCTACACTGTGGCCTCCTGCACCTCTGACAATAACAGGTTGACAAGGTTGTTTAGTTTCAGAGTGAATACTGGATTCCCACATTCTCCTGAACGGGGGTTCCCCCAACCTTCTACTGTAAACAGCAGCTCTAAAGGCAGAAGTAATGCCTGAGTGACCCTTAAAATCCCCCGTTGATATTCTAAAACAATGTACTGAAGTCTTTTTTTCCCCTCATTTTTCTGTAACTTCATTACCATTTCAGGTTGCATTCACGTTGTTTATGATTGTACATCAAATTTTATTTAAACATGTTGAGGGATCAGTTAAAAAAAATTACAAATGCATTTCACAAAATGTCATTTTGATTTAATTTGCATTTATTTGTCCAAACTGTACAAGGTTTTACTGTTTTTACATTGTCAAAAAAGTGGACGCAACATGAATCAATTGATTTTCTTTTTGCAATGTGGATAAAAAAATTGATTTTTTTATTTTGTGTTTTTTACATTTAGTCATTGTACGGTGTTTACATCTCTTTAAAACATAAAAAACCCAGACATTTAAAACAAAAAGAAATGCCCACCACCACCCCTCACTCATACACATACACATATACAAACACCCACACATCCGCACACAACTTAACCATACATATGTGTGGCGGTGTGTGATCCCCAGTGTGTTTATTCTTTTTATCTGTGTGTATCACATGTGAGAAAAAGAGATAAGAGAGAGGCGGATGTGTGGTGACATCCCACAACAAGCAGACACTCAAAGCGGAAGAATGCTCGTAGTGTGGTCATGACTCATTTGTTCATTGTTTCTAGTAAATGAACTAATTCTTCTTCCCTCTCTCTCTCTCTCTTGCACACTGCCCTCTGCTCCGTCTTGTCTTCAGACTTCTTGATGATATCAGTAAAAGCAGTTGGGCAAGTTTCGGGAGAGCAGCTCATAACAAAAGGGCCACCTTGTCCTCACTGGCCGCAATAATGATGCCTCTCTTCTGGCTTCTGCTTTTGGCAAAGCTTCCTAAGCTGGCTCTTTTCTCCGGTTCGGATCGTTGTGTAATCCAGGAGATCAACAACTCACAAAATGGTAAATATATGCCCGGTGTAATCCTTCAAACAACTACATTTTTTTGTTTTTAATTTTTATTGTACTTTCATTTTAAAATACAGTGACTTTTGCATATTTAGCTGATAATAGTTTTTCATGCAAATCGTGCCATGAGCACCTAAAATCTGATAAAGGTTCTGAGGAAAAGTAAAGCAAAAAGGCTAACTGTCATATGAAATGTATTTTGTTGTGAAAGGTGAAGTGCAAGAATATCTTAAATGTTTTTTTATATAATTATAATCATTTTGAGTTGAAGATAACTAAAGATTGCAGGAATACAACAAAGCGACTGCCCGATTCCCTAAAATGCTTTTCTTTTTCTGCTCAGTGTCTTCAATACTGGAATCATTACAATGCCATAATAACTACATGTCACATGTCCACTGCAAGTGGAGGCAACACATAAACACACAGTTAGAGCTCTGGATCAGGATACAGGATACAGAATCTGGCAGGTAAAAAAAAAAAGGGACAAAAGATGTGAAGAAGCAAACAGAAAAAAAAAGATACATGGGACACCTTTTTCAAGGAATAACTCTGTGTTCATGTCCTTGCAGGGAGGTGAAGTGTGAGCCATTTGATCCTAGAGATGCAGCTAAGCACAGGGATGTCCGCTGTAGATATAAAGCCAATGCATTTGGCATCAGCTTAAAACACACCGCCTTCTTCCTCCAAAACAAGACTTGTCTCTCCTCCTCCTCTGTCCAGCACAAGACTCTTCATCTTTTACAGCACCGTGAGTTTAACATTCATTCTGTTGTGTTTCCTTTAGCATTCAAGTGAAACTAAACACTCGGGGATGTTGTGCACTTTTGCATTTTTACAGTGAAAGCACTCCCACCAGCGAATCTCTCCACGCACGATGCAGCTGATGGTGGCCGAAAGCTCATTTGGTCCAGCCCCTACCCTCCCTCGTCATCCCTGAACAAAAACCTCACCTATCAGCTCAGCTATAAGACGCACAGAGAGGACAACTGGGTGGTAAGCATCGCGCGTGCAAGATCATAACTGGATTGAAAATGCCTCATCTTTGTAGCACGTCAGTTTAACTGAAAGGTCGAAAATAGAAACCGAGGTAGCATTTAACACTCTTCATACTTCCTTGCAATATATTTAGCAATAATAATGAAACCAGTGGCCTGATGCCTATAAATCACATTTTAGATTTCCTCTCACAGGAAAGCTTCAAACCTACGAGACCCTCGAGTCAGAAGCCTGGCAACGTTAAAGAAATAGAAAAAACAGATTAGGATACACCTGGGGAGGTTCTGAATTCAAACATAAGCATACTAACACATTCACAGTTTGGATTTAAACAAATAACATAAACATACATTTACATTCTAGGTAGCTGAAAACCTGGAAAATAAAATAAGAATGCACATAGAACTCAGTAGCTGATCCAAATACTTCTTTAACCTTGAATAAATGTCAATAAATAAATATTCCATAAGCCACTCACAACACCTGATTCTCTTTGCAGACTGTGAATGTCACAAACACCAGTATGACACTTGAGAGGCAGCTGTTGCATCCAGGTCACAGGTATGAAGCCAGAGTGAGGGCCTGGGCCAGCATGGGCCTGTGGAGTGACTGGAGTCCTGTGGTGACCTGGCACACTAAAGAAGGTAAATTAAAGAAATCGGTTCAACTTCAGCTCCGAATAAATTGGTTGGCATGTTTAATATATTGAATAATTTTGCACAAGTAGTGACTTTTCCTTCTTAAGGACCCACACTCTTATCTGCTTTCCTCACATTTCTAATCTTCTCCCTCTGTCCAATTTTACTGGAGTGAGAGATAAGTCTGGGGCTTTGCAGCTGTTGTTATTAGCTCTTTTTTTCTCTTTTGGGCCACAGACTTTGGGCAGCTTCCCACTTTGCATTGTGTACTGGACGGAGAGAAGGAGGTAACGTGTAGCTGGGAGGTGAGCAGAGAGCTGGCTCACATCATTACCTACCAGCTGGCCTGTCGACACAATGAGAGTGCGGCGTAAGTTGAGCGTGACGCTGGCAACACCACCTGGCTGGAAATGAAAAATGCACCTTCATCATTCGTCCATCCATTTATCAGACCGTTCGTGTCATTTCCTCTGCTTTCAGGTTTGAGAGATGTTGTTTGAACCCAGCAGTCACTTCTGACCTCACCAGGATGATGCTGAGGTACAGCTGCACGCTGTCTGTCACAGACCCAGAACATCTGCAGCTGAACCTCCAGCCAACACACAGTGCCAAGAGTTTTAAACTCTACCAAAACAGTGAGTAAACATGTGACTGGAGCTACAGCATTCTGGTCGGGTGCCCCAACCTGGGAATAATGCTTGTTCTTCTAAATTCCAAATCCACACTCAAGGAGCGCTTAGAAAAAAGGGTCTTGATTGAGTAGCCCCACCTACTGTTTAAATAGCACTATTGCACCCATTCCGTCTAAATAAATGATCTAGAATTCAATATCATCATTCAGCCATCTGCTGCTTATATACCTCGTCTCTATATTGCCCCTGGTATACATTAGTCACAACAGTGTGGTGACTGCTTCTTTTTTTAGTAAAAATGATTTCCATCCAAATTCATTCATCCATTCTTTATACTATACACTAATGTGACTGTACTCAATATATATTATATATTAGGGGTGCAACAATACTCGTATCGATATTGAACCGTTCGATACAGTGCTTTCGGTTCGGTACGCATGTGTATCAAACAATACAAAGTTTTTGATTTATTTTACCAACTTTTCTTCTGACGATGTTGTCTGTGTTGAGCGCTCAGTGGATCTGTGTTCGACTACTCCGCCTAGGCTGCACTGTCGAGCGCAGATCCACTGAGCGCAGCGCAAGCTAGCAAGACAGAAGCTAAGCTCGTTGCAACATGGCAACTGCCTCAACGCTACCCGAAATTGAACCTCCCCCACCCTCATTCAGATCTGGCGTTTGGAACTATCTTGGTTTTGGAAGCAGACAAAAACAACAAGCACGCATGCTACAAACTTTACCCGAGTCATTTAGACAGCCGTTAGCACATGATTCTCCTTATGGGCCTGATATGTTTAATATGCTGCTGAGAATATAGCCCAGAAGAAGCGTATAGTATAGCTTTTATTTTGGAAAGAGACATTTCTCTGTAATAAACTCTCTTTTCCAAAGATGAGTGATTCCTCGATCAGATAGATTTATTTATTTTTATTATTTTGTTGTTTCAGCAACATTAAATTTAAAAACTACTTTTGAGTTAAAATATATATTTATAATTTTAATAAATGACAAATTAAAAGGGCATGAACATTTTTTTGTATCGAAAAAATATCGAACCGTGACACCAAAGTATCGAACCGAACCGTAAATTTTGTGTATCGTTGCACCCCTAATATATATATATATATATATATATATATATACCAAAATGGTTAAGACCCCTTTTGGTACTTTCCACTACAGTCTGTCATGACAAAACAAACAAGCATACACACACACACACACTAACTACACCCTGTGGGGCTTATTCATTGGCATAATGCATTCCCTAAAGTTAACCAATGAGCTTAAGAATGAATGCCTAATCTCTGCCCAGATGTGAAATCTAAAATCTAATTTTACCCTAAAATTTAATAATACCCTAAAAAATTAGCATGGGCTAATTTTAGTCTCTACAGAAATACAAGTCCTTACAGGTTAGTGCAGTAAGATTAAAGTCCCCACTTGGCAAGATAAACGAGTACAGACACTAAATCACAAGGCAAAAGCCATACCACACACAGCTGTTAAATATGCATAAAACTTTCCACAATAACTTTAGCTATAAACGAACTTCTCTGCATTGCTCTTATTCCACAGTTCGTCCCAACCCCCCACTGCATGTAAATGTGACGGAAGAAGACAATAACTGGATCGTGAAATGGACCGAACCAAACAAGAGTCAAAAACACGACCTGTATTATCAGGTCCTTTATTACAGGAAACAAGATGAGGTAAGAAGCGTTACTATCAGTGTTTGTTTTTTTTAATCTTGATAATTGCATTGGAACTCATTCCCATTAACTATAAAAGACGTACTAATTTAAAGGTGACGTAACTGAAAAAAAAAACAAAAATCAGGTACATATATATATTATTTATTGGGTTTTTTTTTTTTTTTAGAATTCTTCTACGCTACTGGAAGTAAGGGATTTAACTTCTTGGACCATCCTTAGAAAATGTTTAGCCCCACTCCAGGTTTACCAGGTCAAAGTTAGGTCATTGGTTGTCCCTGGATCAGGTTCAGAGTATAAAGGAATCCCATCAGAATGGACGGATCCTGTGGAGTGGACCACTAATGAAGGTTTGTGGGCTTTACTTTCAATATGTTTAAGCTTAAAACTTAAAAAAAAAAAAGCATATCATGATTCATGTCATTCCCCCAATAACACGATCATTAATTCTGTTTTCCGCACCAACAGTCTGGTCCCCCACAACCTGGATCTATATACTTATCACTGCAGCAGTGGCTCTAGTCTTCCTCATTCTGTACCGCACTATTCCAGCTTGTCGAAGGTACATTATTTCTGTAAAGCAAAAATTAACTACTGCCATCAAAAGTATAAATAATGCATTTATTATGTTCTAATTTCATAAGAATGATTTTTTTAATGATAAATTCAACCCTATTTGCATAAATTTTAACCACTAGGAATGTAATTGGGTGGGTGGACTCAGTTCCTTCTCCAGGAAAAAGCAAAATCCTGTCAGAGTTGATGGTAAGACTTGATCAGTTTACATTTTGCTACTTTTTTTGCTACTTCTTCATCTTTATATAAATGTTGTACACTTGCTGTTTTTATATGTAAATGTGTATTTCCTTTTTTCTCTACATCTATTTGCGATCCAGTCCCCCGGCAGTCGGACCCTTACGCAGACTGAAAAGCTGTATATTTGCAAAGTGCAACAACTGGACGTCTTATCTACATGGTAATATGTTTCACACTTGACCTGTCCAGAGGTCTGCACATTTTTTTTTTAGTAAAAGAAAACACTTTCAGCATCAGTGATACTCTATAGCTGTTCCCTTAGATAACGCACACAGACAGACCGTTCAGTGCTCCTGAATGTCACCAATCACTGGGCGTAGCTCCCGGAAAGTGAATTGCAAAATGACGAGCTGTTACATAAATCAATAAAATTCTTATTTTCTTCCCCTGCAGCTCATCACAAGCTTCGCTGTGGCCGACCAAGGACACAGAAAAAAAGTGCCTGGATCAGGATGAGGGTTGCTGGAGCTGTGATAACCTGCCCTCTCCTAATGAGGAGGTTAACGTCTCTGACACTTCTGCGATAAGCTTCACCGGGCCATACATCCTCTGTCGGGTCAGCTGCTCAGAAACTCTAACCAAGTCATTTGTCATGTGTCCAGAGCCTGAAAACCAAAAACATGAAACTCTCAATTTATATTAAACT